AGAAATTCTACACGTAATAAAGCAAAAAGTTTACTGGATAACCCAATAAAGTATAACCGAGCACCCTCAGTTCCATCAGAAAGAAAACATGCAACAGTGTACAGAAATCAGAATAGGTTAGTTTGTACTGTATAGAGACATCTAAGGAGAACAAATTGAAACTGTTTCAGTATAAAGCATCTAGAATGCTCAAGAGTATAATTCCCTGATACCAAAGAGAAAGGTGACATAAAAGAAAGGTCTTAAGAAAGACACTTTTTAATAGCTTATTCTTAATTAAAAGGACAATACAGAGCCCAAAGTTTGAGCACATTAAAGATAAATATCAAAAGAAGCTTCTAGGTAGAAATGGGCTTAAGAAAACCTACTAACATAATGCTGGTGGTTCCTACATACCTAGGCCAAGATGATCAAAGAGACAAGCCAACATTTTGAAACTGCTAGGCTACAATGATCCCTACTAGGGAAACCAATTTGAAATCATGTAACTCAAGAGTTGATTTGAGAGGAAATGCATTGCAAGTTAAAGTATGTGTCTGTATTTGGAGAAAAGGGGGAAGAAGGAAAATGTCATCACTCTACGAAGATTGAAAGTCAACAAACTTTAATGGGACAACTGCGCTTACTCAAGATATCCATGATCCATCACAGTAAAAGAAGACTAGTAAAAATGGAAACAAAATCAGAATTAAGACCACGCCGTAATGTATTCATTCCACTGGTGAAGAGCAAAAAAGAAAACTTTTTTCAAGATCGAACAAAGCAAAGATTTGGTAACATGGTCTATATTTTCGGCATTGATCACAGCCCCTTATCAGCTTTGGGCTTATGTATCCTCATATAGTGGAAAGCTAAATGTCAAAGTCATAATAAAATATATCACAGATTCCATGGGAATTCGGAGTAGTAAAAATAAGGATCAGAATATTTTTCAAACCAGATTGTCCAATAAAAGAATTGAGAAAATTGAACACAAGAACACTAATTACTTATAATAAAAAATCTCCTTTAACAAAATGTGGTTATAAATTCCATCTTAGCTATAAAAATGAGTTATGTGGTTATAAATTCCATCTTAGCTATAAAAATGAGTTCTTTTTGGTATTATGTTATCGATGAGCAACGAAAACTGGATAGACCCATCAATCAAAAACATCAAGCACAGAAGTTCATTCCACTTCATGGATGTTTATTTTACAGAACAAACATACGAAAAAGAAAACAGAGCAAAAGACAAACAAAAAGGAAAAAGGATAATACAAAAAATCCATCAAAGGGATCACCTTTATCATTAAAACATTGATACAAATCTAAAGCTTACCTGAAATTTGATGCATAGTCCTATTCCAGCTTCTCCTCAAAAACCCAGCAAGGATTCACTCATTCCATGACTGATGTCTTGCTCTGAGCCACAAAACAAAGCAAAACAAGAAGAGCCGAAACAAACCCACGAATCAGGAATCAGAATAACAGAGTATCCCAAGAGAGCTCGAACATCAAAGGAGGCATTTTGGAAAGACTATGGAAATTATATAACGTTGAAAACTTTGGATCCGCTGGGCCATTTTCTCCAAGAAGATTTAGAGAGAGAGAGAGAGAAATAGCAGATAAGAAAAATCCACAGAAACAAACGAAACTTACATGAGAAGAGACATGAAAGTTGTCCACACCCAACAAAGTCTCTCTCTTTCTCATTTTTTGTGTTTGTTTTTTGGGTTTTGAGCAAGTGGGAATTGTCTTATGAGGCTCTAGATTCTCTCAACCATTTTCTGTTTTCGGAAAGAAAAAAAAATTAATAATAATAATAATAATATTAAACTTCAAAAAATATTATCAATATCAAACAACACTCCACCAGCACAATAAAAACCGGATTTTACTGCAACCAACAGACACATCCAAGCTCTTATAGACTATCTCAATTTTTCTAATTTAATCAATATCTATATTGCAAGAATTTAATGAAAGTTATCATTTTTCCCAGTAGTTACAAATAATAATTAGTAAGCAGTAGGTCCACAGACTTTGTTTTGATAACGACTAAAATTTATATGACTCATTTTCGTGCGGAATATAAGACTTTAAAATAAACATAATAAAATCACAAGTAAATCACACATATTTATGTTTTGTTATTCGACACAGATCTTTTCGAAAATATTAATTAGTTATTGTTCATTAACAAAAATATAATTACTGATTTTATGGGGGAGGTCTCACCGTGTTCTAAATTACCATGAAATTGTGATTTAGAGTCATTAGAGACTATTATTACACTGGCCTTTTCATGTCTGTAATTCTTAAACTCTCATCAAACTTACCAGTGAAAATGATTTTGTGTGTGTATCTATCTTTTTCCTTTTTGAGCCATTCAATTCAGAAATATGATGACCCATTTGGTCTCATTGCTTATCCAGGTGTCAAGATAACAACCTCGTGGGACCATCTAAATCATGGTTATGCTTGTTTAGTACATAATTAGTGCTAATGACTCCAGATTGCTAGCTTAATGAGTTAGTTACAAGGTTACATCTGTGAAAGTACTTCAAATCAAAGAAAGAATATTAGACAAAAATAAGACTTATTAAAATATGCAATTAAAAATGGAAAAAAAAAAAACAGAAAATTGGGTTCTATTTTGATGACAAGAAAATGGTCCCAAAAGATGAGAGTGAAAACAACGAGAAAAATAAAAGCAATAAAGACTTTCTTAGAGCTCAGTGGAGATTTTTTTTTTTTTTTTTTGGTTTGAAGTCAAAATTCTGGAATAGGTCATATGATAGATGAACTTGTACGCAAAGAAACTATGATACCCTCAAGACAAAATGTGAGAAACTATAATATTTGATTTTTTGGTAAGAGATGAGGATTTTCCAAATATTATTGATTATGGATTTTGTATACACTATATTTGAGTAATCTTTCATATATTGATACATATCAAATTTTGTTTAGTGGTCAATTATAAATTTAAACAACTAAGATGTCATTGAGGTTCAAATATAAAATACTTTATATGTAAATTAAAGTCATTTTCTACCGTGCTAAACCACGTCGGCAAGTTAGTTGTATAGTTGCCCAGTTGAATTAATAAACTTGGAAGAAAAAAAAATTAAATACAACAAAATCCAAGAAAAATGCGTCCGTACAATACAAAATTGTTTGAGCATTGTATGCATTGCGGCGAAAATTCTGTGGTGGGACCCCTCTCTCATCGTCCTCTTTTTATCAGTCCAATCCAATCCCCGGTGTGACCTGCATGAAGTGCCGAGCTTCCAATTCTATTTCCTTCATTTTTCTTTTCCACATTGAAACTACAAAATTGCCCTTGATATTGCGCAATGACACTGTCCTTCTTTGTCACCTTCTTGGGTATCACTTTCATTTCATTTCATGAATCTGATCTCCCATAAAGATTAAAGTGAAACCCAAAGCTACCTCATTTTTCATCATTCTGGGCTTTCTATTTAGTCACTGTAGCATGATTTTGTTTTTATAAATTTATTGAGTGTTATGCGTTTATGAGTCTATCTCTTATAAATTCGTATATAATACAATCGGTGATAGGGCAAATTTTTTCCCCTTGGTATATTATATTATGTTTTTATTGTCAAACAATGATCTAATGAGTAGCTTAGCTTTAGCAAAAGATGCATCACTTCAGAATCGTCTTACAAGAAATGAGTTTCCTCACGTTATACTCCATATCAATCAAGGATTGAGATTGGTGCAAAAATGGGGCCACAAGGGTAATTATCAACACAAAAACTGTGCGATGTCGATGTGGGATATTGACGCGGACGTGTTCCACAACGTGGTACATTTGCATTGGCCGCAGAAAAAATTGGGCACATGCAATTTTTCTTTTTTGATTTGGTTTGGAGAAGGCCCAAACACTTATATCAAAGACTTGTTTGCAGATATTGGGCTTCATCTGCATAGATGTTTCAATTGTTTTGAGTAGAAATGATTGATAGTCGAAATCATAAAGGAGAGAGATTTCTCACACACACACAACTATGATGTTGTGGGGCCATTTTCACTATGTTAAATCCGTTGGCTAGATGTTTCACTTTTTATTGTTAGGGGAAAATGTGTATTTTTTTCCTTTATTTTTCTACTTTTCAGTTTCTATTGAATTTCTTAGAGTATCTGCAATGGTGTTAATATAATATTGTCACTAACCAAAGAAAATTTTGTTATTAATTTTTTATTATTCAAAATTGGTCGATCTCTTTAAAACCATTTTAATTGTATAATTCTTATTGTAATTAACTTTATTTATTCAATTATTTAAAAATATATTTTAAAAAGATAGTTTTTTTAATTTGTAAGCTATTGAAATGCACCACTGCAAATAAAACTGCAATTCAGTTCAATAGTTGTCAAAAGAACTGAACTATTGAGCAACTATTGCGGATGCTCTTAGAAACTTTGTTTCACTTAGTAGAGTAAGTCACTAATTATTACATGCAATCAAACTTGAAGATGATGAGGATGACAATAATAATAAAAAAAATCAGTAAATAATGTGTCATTTCTTTAAGTTGCATTGTAAGATGCTTTTGTCCTCCAAGGTACATCAGCTAGATTATGCTTGAGGCATATTTCTTTTTGTGTATTGTCTCTCAAGTGCTCCACCAAGCAATTAGAGTTTAACCCCACCACACACTAACTTTCCTGGATAAAGAATAAGATCATCTTCTTCGATAATCATTCATAAAACCTCTCTCTGGCTTTCAGTGATCACAACCTGCCTTGTGATCTTGTAGAGATTCAGTACTACTACTAGGAAGCCATGGCCAAATAAATATAAAACTAGCCAGCCTACCCTCTCTCTATCTATATATTTATTTGCTCCACTTTGGATGGCTAAAGCAGTTATGCCGACAAGGACAATTTTGTCAAGTTGCACTCACATCCCATTTGGCTAAAGAAAAAAAACTTAGCTCGAAGTAATCGCATAGTTTCTGCCTCAGGAGATTAAAAGAGACATCAGATTATCAACAACAGCAAAAGATGATATTATTTATAAGCATTGGAAAATAGATGTTTCTCTGAACAAAACTTTGCTCATAGTTGACATGATCAGCAGCACTAGGATAAAGCTGTAGCAAGACTTACAACAAGACACATAAAAACACAAGGAAAATTTAAGGCTGTTTGCTGACAGCTAGTTGGTGGAATTTGGTGTTTGATTGGTAACAGGGTATTTCCTAGCATTCTTGACAATTTTGGAGAGTGCAGCTTGTCCAAGATCAAGTCCACAAACATCAGCAAGTTGAATCAGATAAAGCAAGACATCAGAGAGCTCCTCTTCCAAATGCTCTTTCTCATCACAAGTCCAATTAGGCAGTCCTCTTGCAACTTCTCCCTTCCATTGGAAAATTTCAGACAATTCTCCAACCTCTCCCACCTGCACAGACATATTATGCAATGGAAAAAGTTTAAAAAAAGAAGAAGAAAGAAGATAAATAAAATTGGGGAATTGAAGCTTGGTGAAATGGGGTGTCAAGTGATTTGAGTTTATTACCAGGGCTAGAAGGAGGTTCCTTGGACTGTGATATTGATCCCATCCTCTTACTTGAGCAAACTCAGCAAGCCTATCTCTGAGTTCTTCAAGTGAAACATCCTTAGCATTTCCTGCAACCTCATAAGAACTTCCCATCTCTTCTGATCCTAGCTCTCCTCCACTTTGGCTCATGCACGACCAAATTTAAAGCAAATGCAGAGATGAGAGAGAGTTATGGCTTGCTTTTTTTTTTTCTTTCTTTTTTTGGCTTTTTTGTTTTGTTTTTGTAAAACTAAAAATGCACCATTTGGTATAGTGGAGGGGCACTTGAGTGTTCCCTCAAAACAGTAATCATTTCAGGTATGGCAAAAGATGTTCCCAATCTTATCATCCATGACTTGAAATCACTCATACCTATCTGCTTCAAATTTTTAACTAGGAATAATATCAGGGAAGCAATTGGTCCAAAAACTTCAATTTGGCACATAGCTCTCTCACCCATGCCTATGCATACGCCAACCCGTTGTAGCTTTGTTCCTTGGTATTTTGGATTTATCCTCCCCCAAGTATAATGGTGAATTTCACTAGCTAGTATATTTTCAGATTTCACAAAAATCACAAAAGATTTTTGTTTGTCAGTCTTTTATGGAACCAACAATACAAAAACATCATTGGCTCCTTGTCTCTTTTATGAATCCGGAAATTGCGATTTGAGTGTGGATAATTTTAGACATCAGAATCAGGAACTTGCACGACATATAAACAAAGCTTTCCATTTCATATCCCACATGGTTGTTGTATGTCGTTTATACTCTGCTTTATAGCAAGGGAAATCGAGTCTAAGTTGAAAAAATACAAAATCTACCAAGCTACCTATATTATCTATTCTGCAGAAGAAAAAAACGTGTAAAAGGGAACAAGCTTTTTGCTTGCATATGCTTTAAGTGTTGGCGCCCACCTATGTGCATTGAGATTTGTTGCCTTCATACTCATTATGTCTGCATGTAATGTAAATTTATGCAATTCACACACACACACACACGCACACAATCTCAGCCATATAGGTGAAAACTTGTCCTGAATTTACTTTTACCTTTGTCTGGAACTCAAAGGGTGCAAAGGAAAAGGAAAGTTAAACATTACCTACACTATCACAACTTGGGTAGGGAACCTAAACTTAAAGCAATGCTATGCTAAACTTCAGTTCTTATGAAATTATGAGGCCTTGAGAATCTGCTATCGAAAAAAAAACAATCATTAATTTACTAGAAGCTTCAAAATTTAAAAAGGGAAAAGAAGTAGAATATGGTTGCTGCAAAGCAATGACTATGCATAATCATGAAAGTCCACTCAGATTAGGGAAGGGATTGTTGGTATCACATTTAAGGACAGATGTCTGTTTTTAACTCTGGGACCCTGTCATATTCTGATTCATCTTTCCACAAAGGCTTTTGTAGCATTAGCATTTCCAGTTTTTCATGATGTGAACACAATATACGCAGAAGATTAAAATGAAATCTTCTGCCTGATCAGTTTTAGATCTCATAAAAGAATGAGTTCATGAGTTGCCTTCTGTTTTTCTTTTTGGTCACTTATGGCATATGGACATGGAGAATTTGCATGCTCCTCTGTACTTCAAATAAGAGACAAAGTATGTAATCTTATTTCTAATCTTCCAGTGCCCAAAAACCATACGAATCTTTAAGTCTCAAATATAATAAAATATACTATAAAATGTAATCATCCCCAATCAATACATACCACTAGTTTTCACTTCAGAGCAGAAAATTTGGCTAGCTAGCTAAACCTAGAAAAAAACTCAACTCTAACATTCGATTAAACTAAAACAGAGATGATGCATGATGATGATTTGCAATGTTGCTCAAGAATCTCTAAGCACAGGCTAGGCTATATATCAGTGCTACATAAAGGTTAGTAAACCAATTAATTAATATTCTATCTAATTGATGAAATCATACTCAGATTACATCATCAATACCTCAAAATATCTAATTGACTGATCTTGATCTCAGTTAAATTCAGTCGACCACAGAGAGAGCTTGATACTCTTTGTCAGCAATGGCTGCTTCCATGAGTTGGTGCAGGCCAATTTCTCCACCATTGTCCAAGAATACCTTGCCCAAATTGTCCGAGTAGCCACTCAAAATCTTCAGCCCTGGATGAGGTTCTACTATACTAGGCATGTTCAAGTCAAAAAGACCCCAAATCAAAACTTTTGGGATCGCATCATCCCCATGGCCTTGCTCCTTAAACTTACTCCGTACTGCCTCATAACTAAGCTTCCAGTTGATACCACGGCATGAAAAGTCAGTGAACACAAACACCTTCTTGACCATCTGCTCTGGCTTTAAGTTCTCATTCACAGCCACTTCCAGAATCAAATCACACGCCTCTGGAAAATTAGCTATGCTGAAATCTATGTTTGTCCTCATCATAAACTTGGCCTTGGATTTGAGATCATCGCCTTGTATCGAATGCAGCACTAGCTCATATTGGGAATCACCGAAAGTGATCACCTTTCCTTTCCATACCGGCTCTTCACTCAGTTCAGACACCACAAGTCCCAAACTCATAACCCATGCTCTGCTATTGCCCAGGATATTGGTGAGACAACACACTGCCAAGCAGTTTTTAAAGTTCCCCAAACCCTGCTTTTGCTGCTGTTTTATGTCCTCCACCATTGCCTTCCACTGAAGCTCAACCGCTTCCCTGAAATCCGCATAGCATGCTTATTTTATGATCTCCCCTAGAACCAAAGCATCCGGCTTTATTATGCCAATGCCGCCTCCTCCCGTTGCTGCTGCTACTTTCACCTCCTCCAAATACTTCTTAACCTCATAGCTCCTCTGCCTGTCACTGTTAACTGCGGTTTGAATATGCCACAACTTCTGCTTCTCAAACACCCAGCTCCAGCGACGGTCAAACATTCCTTGACGATACCAATAATTGCGCAACGGCGCCAAAACCAATTTCCTAAACTTCTCCCACTCTTCCAATTCATACGATTGATCTGATTTGGGTGTGAAAAGCCTCTTCGCAATGCTTTCACACAGCAAAATGGCGCGGGCGGCGTGAGAGTCCGTGGGGTATTTGGTAACCAAACAAGCTGCAGCCTCTGTAACGAAACGATGAGGATCAAAAGTACTATCTTCTTCATCTTCGTCTTCCTTGAACTCATCCTCCTCGTCTGTTAAGTAATCGGATGGCTTAAGTTGCAGTGTTTGCTGCATTATTTTGTCAACATCAGACTCCAAGCGCTTCAGGAAGAGATCCATAACCCCATCATGTAACAGCTTATTACCAAAGCTGCAGGAAATGAAGGTGTGTTTCCTGAATACTTGAGCTAAATAAGTCCAACTCGAATGCCAGCTTTTCCGAAGGCAGTTCTTCAAAAGTTCAGCATAGCATCATAAAAGGCCGAAAATGAATACAGAAGAAATTCAATTGATCAATAAATTGTAATGTAAAACAACATGAGCTGAGGCCATGAAGGCAACTTTGGCAGCCCACAGAAAGATTTCCTACGAGTTTCCACTGGAACTATTCTCACTAACTGACCACCTTCTGCTGCGCGCAGAAGCAGTTCGTTGAACACCTGGTGTGCACCTTGGGGTCGCACACCAGTCGGCCATGGGGTCGGCTGAGGACCTCCACAGCTAACTTTCTGGTCGTCATGGGGTCACCTGACCCCTTGTCCCTGTGTGCGTTCGCCACTGAGTTGTTATATGCAGTAGCATTTATCATTAAACCACATTATTGTCTACGTTTTCCACATAAGGAACTCGCTTAAGAGCCACATGTAACTATAGATTCTATATGATAAATAATTAAATGATATCAATGCACTACTTTTTCAAATTCAATACCAAAGCCACAGAAGAAAGTCAGGTTTCCTTAATTAGTGAAAAATAAAACATGATTTTTAATAAGTAACCAAAAGTTCGCACTTCATGTTGCAAATAACTTTAGAGGCTTTCCAAATTCAAAGTATTTTGTTCTAACTAATGCATCAAGGACCCAAAACTATAATAGAGATGACCTAGCTGGAGAAGAAAAGCATATTGCAATTAGGTTAGTATTCTATTGTGACTAGGGTTATACAGTATTTTAAAAATGAAGCAATGAATAAAGTGATATATTTTGATTGTTTATATAAAATCAATGAAAATTAAACTTCTTAGAATATGTCTCTTCAAATTTACAAAGATTCAAGGAAACAACTCGAACACATCAATGAATATGAATGAGAAACATGTGAAAGATAAAAACGAACGAGTATCAAGCATTTGTTAAAAAGATGTACACATATCATGGGTTGTAATGAAAGTTTACAATCATAACAAAACTGGCAAATAAAATCCCACAAGTTCCATAACCAAAACAAGATATAACGAATGAAGATCAAAAGAAAACGACACCTTTTTGTTTGTTTTGGAGATGTTTTGGCGGGGTGGCAACTTAAGGGACATTCTGTAGCATATTAAAGTCATTTTTAATTGTTACAAAAATTAAAGCCTTTCTGTTTGCAGAAACTTAGCAAGCTTATTTGCTCCATTGAAATTAAAGTTAGAGAAGACATAATCAATGCAAATTGTTCAACATCAATGCAAATTCCTCAAGGCTTCATTATGTTTAACTTTCCTTTTGCTTCACCCTTTGAGTTCTAGACAAAGGTAAAAGTAAACTCAGCACAAGTTTTCACCTATGGCTTAAAGCATGTTACAGAATTAGTATGAATAAGGGCTGTGATATCAACAATCCTAATCCAATTTGGAGTTTCATGATCATATATAGCCATTGCAGCAACCATATTTTAGTTATTCTCCCCTGTACTTCAATTAAGAAACAAGTATGTAATCTTGTTTCTAATCTTCCTTCCAGTGCCCAAAAACCATATGAATCTTCAAGTTTCGAATATAATATAATATAATATAATATAAAATCTAATCCATCCCCAATCATTACATATACCAATAGTTTTCACCTTCAGAACAGAAAATATTGCTAGCTAGCTAGCTACCTAGGAAATAACTCAACTCTAACATTCAATTCAATTGAACTAAAACGGATGATGCATGCAGGATGATGATTTGAAACTTGGTGCGTACTTCCTCATACTTAGTCTTCCAGTGGCAGCCGGATGCAAAGTCGGTGAACACAAACACCTTCTTCATCATCTGCTCTGCCTGTAAGTTCTCAATCACAGCCACTTCCAGAATCATATCACAGGCCTCTGGAAAATTAACAGCAAAGCTGAAATTTTGGCATGTTTGCATCATAAACTTGCGCTTGGACTTGAGATCATTGCCTTGTATCGAATGCAGCAGCAGCTCATAGGGTGAATCACCGAAAGTGATCACCATTCCTTTCCAGGGCTCTTCACTCAGTTCAGACACCACAAGTCCCAAACTCAGCGCCGATATTCTGTGATTGCCAAGCATATCTGTGAGGAGACACATTGCCAAGCATATATGTGAGGAGACATGTAGAAAAGATACTTTTTCATATATGCAATTCACGGGTACAGGCCTTATATACAGGCATAGGAGGTAGGTAAATGGTTTTACAACGGTAGTGCAGTAATTATATCAAACCTAAATGCTGTAATTACAATACAATAAAGCTATAATTAAGATACAATAACAATGTAACGGAAATACTCCTTGAATGGGCATAACTATGATTGAATGTCATGATTGTGGTGGTAACTCCCTAACACTCCCCCGCAAACTTGACGCCGGATAGGTGACAAGGTTGGACACAAGATGCGCAAAACGGGCTGCAGGTAGGCCTTTTGTGAATACATCAGCAAGCTGATCTTGAGATGAAATGAACCGCACTTGATGACTTCCAGCAGTAAGACGTTCACGGATAAAATGATAATCAATAGCAACATGTTTAGTGCGGGAATGAAAGACAGGATTGGCAGCCATGTAGGTTGCAGATAAATTGTCACAATGAAGAAGAACTGGTTTAGAAAGAGAGAAGTGAAGTTCATGAAGAAGACTCTGAATCCAAATTGTATCAGCACAAGCATGGGCAAGTGCACGATATTCGGCCTCCGCACTGGAACGAGATACAGTGCGTTGCTTTTTAGCACTCCAAGATATAAGAGTCTTGCCTAAGAAAACACAATACCCAGTGGTGGAGCGTCGAGTATCGGGACATCCAGCCCAATCAGCATCAGAGTATGCGACAAGAAGAGAGGGGGCAGGAGAAAGGTGAATGGGTAGACCATATCCGAGCGTGCCTTTCAGGTAACGGAGAATGCGTTTGACAGCCTCAAAATGAACATCAGTAGGGGAGCCCATAAATTGAGAGACATGTTGCCACGCAATTTTTAAAGTTGCCCAAACCCTTCCCCTGTTTTTGCTGCTGCTTTATGTCCTCCACCATTGCCTTCCACTGAAGCTGAACCGCTTCCGTGAAATCCGCATTGCAAGTATAGTTTATGATCTCTCTTGGAACCAAAGCATTCGGCTTTATTATGCCAATGCCACCTCCTCCTCTTGCTGCTGCTACTTTCACCTCCTCCAAATACTTCTCAACCTCAAATCTCCTCCGCCTGTCAGTGTTAACTACGGTTTGACGATGCCACGACTTCTGCTTCTCAAACACCAAGCTCCATCGATGATCATGTTAGCAATAGTCAATTAATGAGGATTAGTTTCTTATTTAAACATCAGCAAAGCACATTCTTGCGCTGAACAAATTCAGTTGATTTAAAATCATTTTGTTCGTCAGTATTGCCTCTCATACCAGGGCAGGGGGTTTTGCAACTTTGCATAAATAACATCAAAAGCTTCAACAACCAAAGCACTTACAAATTTACACGGAGAGCATTAGCCTCACCAATATTACATGGAAAAATTATCTAAAGAAGAAAAACAATACTTAGAAGGTGATTTATTGCCAGGTGAGAAAAATTGTTCCTCCCTCTGTCTGCATTAACCATCTTGTTGAAGGACTGAGGTGTTAACTAAATCAGCAACCTAGAACGAATGTGGGGTAGATATAGTAACAGCATAAACATTAATAGTCATTCTCTAATGGGAGGGCATTGACTTGCAAACCAGTGGTCTCAGATTTGAATTCTCATGACACCTTTACTGTGTGTGTGAGAAAACCACCATCCACCTTCCTAACTATGGCAAAAAAGAAGAAATTTTTTCATTACATAGAATATTTAAAATAAAAAATAGTCTATATATATGTGTTGATTGTAAGTAATGAAACATAAGTGAAAAATCGAAAATATTCTACAACTCTCATTCTCTCATTCTCTCTACACTTTCCACTCTCTACTCTCAATATTCTCTATGTTTTGGCATGGTATCAGAGCCTAATGGCTAATCCTTAAGATCCTCTATCAAATTGAGAGTCGTTGGCGTTTTTTCATGTTGCTGTAAATTCTCTTGTTTCCATTAAATTTCCTCTCTTTTATCTGTATGGGCAATAAGTCCCTTGGCCACGATGGCCTAATTTGTTTCCTATGGGCAGTACGTTCCTTGATCACCATGATCTCTTTCCTCCGTGAGCCTCGTCATCGCTCACCGAGCCATTTCCTTTCCTCCGCGAGCCTCGTCAGCTGAGCCTTTTCCCCTTGTCTCTGTCATGCCGAGCTACACTACTGCTGCTGTTCCCTTTGCATAGCCACTCTGGTGTTTGCATCATCTCTCAAGCTCTAACGAGCTCTCTTATATATATATATATATATGTATGAAAATCTTTGCTACCTCTTCTCTTTCACGCCAATAACTTGGCTTCCTTTTCCCTTTATTTTATTGACTTGTTTTGCACCATATGCCTCTTCCTTTTCAACAACTCTTACACTTGTCATCGTCACCTACCCAATCTATACAATATTCGTCCCTTTCTCTATGTGTGCATACACATGTCATCCACCTTCATTCATTTTTATTTCTTCTTTCTTTTTGGGTTGTTGCAACTCCTCTCCATCTTTTATTCCTTTTCTCCAGTTTTTCGGTTGCCCATCTCCATTCCACCTTTCCTTGGATTTGTTTCTGCCACGAGACTGCCATGTTTGAGTCTCTTTACTATTATTTCATTTTCTCTTCTTCCAAATCTCGACCCTCTACCAGTGTCAGATTTGAGGGGGAGATAGATGCAACTTTATTTGGGTGCTGCAACTTTATTGTCATTACCGGTGTTGCTTTCTCCAAATCTCGACTCTCATACGTCGTCGGATTTGAGGGGGAGTGACACTGCTGCTCATCTATTCCGCTGCAATTCTGTTACCTGGCTGCACTTGGATTTGGTGTTGCCACCGACAGACCGAAATGATTAACTTCGATGTGGCCTTTGCTCCACGTGTGGCCCACCATGTAGTGGTCCCACGTGAGGGGGCATGTTGAAGTGGATCGACATTCTATTAAGAAGAAGCTTGATGCGGAAATATTAATAACGACAGTCTCTCTTTTGGCAAGTTGGTCATTGATGATATCTATGCACCAACTTGAGGGGGAGTGTTAGCAATAGTCAATTAATGAGGATTAGTTTGGCACCTACAATGTTTAGTCAATTAATGAGGATTAGTTTGGTTGCCTAACTAGGTTGGTTGCCTAACTTGGTTGGTTGCCTAACTTGGGGGGCTTGACTAATGTCTTAGGAACTTGTATATATATGTGTTGATTGTAAGTAATGAAACATAAGTGAAAATCAGAAAATATTCTACAACTCTCATTCTCTCTACACTTTCCACTCTCTACTCTCAATATTCTCTATGTTTTGGCAGATCAAACATTCCTTGACGATACCAATAACTGCGCAAGGGCGCCAAAACCAATTTCCTAAACTTCTCCCACTCTTCCAATTCATACGATTGATCTGATTCGGGTGTGAAAATCCTCTTCGCAATGCTTTCACACAGCAAAATGGAGAGGGCAGCGTGAGAGGCCCTGGGGTGTTTGGTAACGAAACACGCTGCAGCCTTGGTAACGAAACGATGAGGATCAAAAGTAGTACCTTCATCATCTTCTTCTTCCTTGAACTCATCCTCCTCGTCCGTAAAGTAATCGGATGGCTTAAGTTGCAGCTTGTGCTGCATTATTTTGTCAACATCAGACTCCAAGCGCTCAATGAAGAGATCCATAACCCCGTCGTGTAACAGCTTATAGTCCTGGTCACTGTGGAGCCGCTCCGCCGCGGTGTCTTGGCCTTGATCTCCTAGAAGGCGGTAGAGAATATCTACAACTTCCCATAAATTCCCCAACGAACCGGAAGAAGAGGGGAGATTGCACGCTAGCGTCTTGGGGTAGTTAGGGGATTATGGGACCAGATATAGTATAGCCGAGCGGCTATACTGCTCAAATATATTCGAATATTTAAATACTATAGCCGTCTGGCTATACTGTTTAATTATTTTCGAATATTTACATAGTATAGCCGCCCGGCTATACTTCGTAACTATTTCCGTATATTTAAATAGTATAGCCGTGTTTGATTATTTTCGAATATTAAAATAGTATAGCCGCGCGGCTATACATCTTTAAAATATTCGAATATTTAAATAGTATAGCCGGTCGGCTATACTTCTTAAAAATATTCATATATTTAAATAATAGTATAGCCGATCGGCAATAGTGCTTAAATATATTCCTATATTTAAATAGTATAGCCTCTCGGCGATACTTCTTAATTCTTTTTTAATATTAAAATACTATAGCCGATCGGCTATACTCCCTAAACATATCGTAAGTTTCCCAAAGTGCCATGTTCCAGAAATGCTCACAAGCTCAAGTATTTTATCAATTAATAAGTAAATTCGCTAACTAGCATTTGATGAACTTAGACTATCCTATCTTAGATGAATGAACTTAGAGGACCCTCAACTCTCTCTTTCTCTAGTAACGATATGTATGGAGGAGATTTGAGAGGTAATGAGGAAAAGAAGTTTAATTACTTAAGAGTAGTTTTAAAGAAAGAAATCAGATCTAAGCAGTAAGCTCACTTGCTTTATAAGATTATGGCACGACTATGCGTCATGAGACACTAACATGTCTCCCAACCCAAAAGTAAATACGCGCATCAGTTGTAAAGATGACAACGAGGGAGAATTGAGATTTTAATCTCCATGTGAGAACATGCCCTATTGAGGACGTATAAAACAATGCAAGTCCCTAGCTTTTGACATTAACATTTACTTAACCAACGTCGCTTACAAGGTAAACTACCCATCCGCATCCACCAATAAGCACTTTCTTAAACCTAATAAACAACCCTTAACCACTCTCTCTCTCTCACTCTCTCTCTCTCAAAACAAAACCAGAAAAAAAAAAAAAAAAAAAAAAAAGAACATGGGAAAAGCTTCAACACATATAGACCTAGCAACATTTCTGGAAATCCCAATTGAGAAAGACCCACAAAGAATGATCACTGCAACACATGATCGTCCTCCGCACCCATTAAGCCCTCTATGGAGGCTGAGCCCGAGGCACAACGGTAGCACCTTATATGACTCGTATGAGCTTCGAGCTGTGACTCACCAACTTAACAAAGCCATTCAAGCTTCCAAAGCATCGTCCCCTCATTACATGTACTGCTACAATTCACCCTTCTATACACAAGGCTTGAGTCGCGTTTCCAAACAAAATGTCAAGACACCCAAGAGAATTCTGTGCCACCAGCAACTGTCTTGTGCGGCTGCCACCACTGACAAAAAGCCGAGTACAAGGCCTCCCAGGGCAGCTTCGATGGGGTTTGTGACAAGGGCATGGAGGAAAGTGAAGCAAGGATTTCTCAAGAACAAGCCAAGGAATGACTGATTTCAGGTCCTCACCCCTCCCCAACTTGCCTGGAGTTTGATCAACTATGTATAGCATAATTAAGCCTAGTATTCTAGTCTGCCATCAAAACCAAGCCGAGCATGTAATTTCATACCCAATTTCAAGCCTTGTAATATATGATTTCCTCAATCCAAATGTCCTTATAAATCAAAGCTGTAAAATGCAAAAACAATACATAGCAGTTGGTCTTTGTCCGTTATCAACAAAACTGTGTGAAGTTCCCTTTCCATTGACGTTCAACAAGGTTCATTTACAACCATGCTCCAACTAGAAGCATCCTATTAAAACCACAAAAAGAAAGATACATGTGGTGATATACGACATGTCAATATTTCTGAAAGAAACAAAAGGAAGATACAATCAAAACTTTGATTACTAATCTAAGCAGCTAGAGGAAACTTCTAAGTCAGCCTCAGCGCCATATCTTGAAGAAGAGCTCGCTTCTGCACAGCACTTATTACATAGTTGGTCTCGGCATTCTCAAGAATATCAGTGACAATGGCAGCATGACCAAGTGGCTCCTCAGCAGCCCTCTTCAACATGAAGGGCCTGAACACCACATGAGATAATATGAAGAAAAATGTAGAGAAATATTTAGCTATAAACTTGATTGTCATTGGGAGAGAATCTATGGGAACTGCGGCAAGTAAAATTTGATGAAACTAATCAACACCCTTTTGTCCAGAGAGAGAGAGAGAGAGACCTGGCGGTTGTGAGATATAGCCAATGTACAAGGTTGCTGAAACCAAGGCTCCCCATCAATCTGAACAGGCAATGCAGCAAAGAGATGTATCTTAATTGACTGCCCCTGTGCCAATCTTCGAGCACGATAAAGCCCAACCTGTCCCAAACAGAACAGCAGTTCAGAGACTTAGCACGCATTACCAACATTATAAATTAGATTACCAAACTTTAGGGACTACAACCCTTTATTGTGTTTAACACATTGTTGATGAGGCATTCAAGGATATCACCACCCCTCCCAACATGTCATGTGATGAGGCTTTATAAAAAGGCACCTCCCCTAGTCATGTGATCCAGGGCATACAAGAAATCAAAGGGAGACTTCTAAGTGCAAGTGAAAGTAGTAAGAGTAAGAGTGTCAAATGGAGATTGAGGAGCTAAGCAACTGAAGCTTATTTTTCAATAGCATCTGCTCAAGGCTTCATTATGTTTAACTTTCCTTTTGCTTACCCTTTGAGTTCTAGACAAAGGTAAAAGTAAACTCAGCGCAAGTTTTCACCTATGGCTTAAAGCATGTTACAGAATTAGTATGAATAAGGGCTGTGATATCAACAATCCTAATCTAATTTCGAGTTTCATGATCATATATAGCCATTGCAGCAACCATATTTTCGTTCATCTCCCCTGTACTTCAAATAAGAAACCAAGTATGTAATCTTGTTTCTAATCTTCCTTCCAGTGCCCAAAAACCATATGAATCTTCAAGTTTCTAATCTAATATAATCTAATATAAAATCTAATCCATCCCCAATCATTACATATACCAATAGTTTTCACCTTCAGAACAACGGATGATGCATTCAATTCAATTAAACTAAAACGGATGATGCACGCAGGATGATGATTTGAAATGTTGCTCAAGAATCTCTAAGCACAGGGTAGGCTATATATCATTGCTACATAAAAGTTAGTAAACTAATTAATTAATATTCTACCTAATTGATGAAACCATATCATCAGATTAGATCATGAATACCTCAAAGTATGAAGTTTCAGTCCACCACATGGAGAGCTTGATACTCTTTGTCAGCGATGGCTGCTCCACCACACGGAGAGCTTGATACTCTTTGTCAGCGATGGCTGCTTCCATGAGTTGGTGCGGGCCAATTTCTTCACCATTGTCCAAGAATAACTTGCTCAAATTGTCGGAGAAGCCACTCAACACAGTCAGCCCTGGATGAGGTTCTTCTATACTAGGCATGTTCAAGTCAAAAAGACCCCAAATCAAAACTTGTGGAATTGCATCATCCTCATACCCTTGCTCCTTAAACTTGGTGCGTACTTCCTCATACTTAGTCTTCCAGTGGCAGCCGGATGCAAAGTCGGTGAACACAAACACCTTCTTCATCATCTGCTCTGCCTGTAAGTTCTCAATCACAGCCACTTCCAGAATCATATCACAGGCCTCTGGAAAATTAACAGCAAAGCTGAAATTTTGGCATGTTTGCATCATAAACTTGCGCTTGGAGTTGAGATCATTGCCTTGTATTGAATGTGTTGGAACTCATTGTTGTCCCACATCGGCCAGAGGGCCAAAGAGAAAGTAGTTTAAATAGAAATACCCCTCTCTAACTAATACCGAGGCCTTTTGTGATAAAACCCCACACCTGAGGATTGTGCAGGTGGTAAAGTGGGGACAGTATTCTGTGATTGCCAAGCATATCTGTGAGGAGACACATTGCCAAGCAGTTTTTAAAGTTGCCCAAACCCTTCCCCTGTTTTTGCTGCTGCTTTATGTCCTCCACCATTGCCTTCCACTGAAGCTCAGCCGCTTCCCTGAAATCCGCATAGCAAGCATAGTTTATGATCTCTCTTGGAACTAAAACATTCGGCTTTATTATGCCAATGCCGCCTCCTCCTCTTGCTGCTGCCAGTGGCGAATCCAAGATTCTCGGGTCATAGGGTCACAGTGTAAAAAGTGTCGAAGTTTTTTTAGGCTAAACTGTTGATGTATTTTTAGGACAAATGAATCATTTTCAATCCAATTATTTAAAAAAAAAATAAAAAATTTATTTATTTCACATTAAAAAAAGAAGAAAAAAAAAGAAGAGGAAACATGGAACTACATTAATTTTAAAAAATTAAAAAAGCAACAATTTTAAAGCTTAAAAGATTAAATTTTCCTAATGTTTTTGTAGAGAATTTCCTCTTGATAATTTCCATGAATTTTTCAAAAGAGGGACAATTTTAAAAGGCTAAAGGTTTGAAAAACAAATTTAAACAACTAAATACCCTTTAAATTTAAATAATATTAATATCATTCATAATTAAAACCTATGTTTTCTATTGAGCTACAAACCTATGTTTTCTGCCTTTGCACATCAACCCACTTAAATAGAAAGAAGGAAAAAAAAGAAAATATAACAATATAACAATATCAATTTAAAAAAATATAAATAAGTGTTTTACAATTATACAATTACTCTATCAAAATTCTTATCAAATATGAACAAAATCCATGTCAATTACACAATTAATTTAACCAAAAGTACATGTGAATTGGAAGTCACGACATAAAAGTAGACGTGATTACAAGTTTGTGATGATTTTCGATGAATTTTTTAGAGCACATATGACTTTTTAATGAATTTATGATGTTAGTCCAATTAAAAATTGACATGTGGCGCCTTGTTAATGCATCATTTCAAAAAGGAATTAAAATGAGAAGCGCTGGATTACAACCCAAACATGCTGTGTCTTTCTTCTTCTTCTTCTTCGGAGAGCTCTGCAACTTCAATTCTAAAAGCTCTTAAAAACTTCTAAAATTCATAACTTTGGTTGTGGGGCTCCGATTGACGAACCGTTTTCTCCTACATGATCGTGAGATCGATCCCAACAATCTAAGGTAATATTCAGGGTCTCACCAGCAGGAAACAATACAACCTCTGTGGCCTTTCGTCGCGGTGGCCTTCCGTCAAGCACCTTGCGTGCATCTCTTGGGGTCGTCGTTCTGCTTGCCATGGGGTCTGCTCAGACCTCCACAAGCTGTCCATAGCCATTTTTCCAGCCAGTTCGTGGGGTCAAGCGACCCCTTTTGTCCCTTAATCCGTCCGCCCCTGGCTGCTGCTACTTTCACCTCCTCCAAATACTTCTCAACCTCATAGCTCCTCCGCCTGTCAGTGTTAACTGCGGTTTGACGCGCGCCTAGAGGTCATAATTATTTTTTAATATTAAAATAGTATAGCCGAGCGGCTATGCTTATTAAATATATCATAAGTTCCCCAAGGTGCCATGTTCCAGAAATGCTCACAACCTCAAGAATTTAATCATGCATAGATTGTGGATTAAAATTATAGGAAATTTGGCATAAGTCCAATTATGAGGAGAGACTTTGGGTGCAATCCACGCAGAAATTGTTGTTGATCCAAGTCCTTTGACTTTTGCGCCACATAAGATTACATGCCTATTTCAATTTATTGATATTTACTTTTTTTTATTTTTTATTTTTTGTTCCAGTTATGCACCTAAAACATAAATAAGGTAAATTATGAATTCCTAAAACTGGTAAGTTATTGATTTGTAGGATATTAATTATCATATTTGATTTGAATTTAATTGCAAATCTATTTATTGAATTCTGAAATTTTCCCAAGATATACCGACATCAAAATTTGTAATAAGAGTTCATAAAAACTTCATACCTTAATAATAGGTAAGGTACCTATGCATGTCAGGTACATAATTTAATGTGGGTGCTTGTCTGATCGATTGGTATAATATGTGAGTCTTTACTTTTTATTGATTAAATTGTATTTTATCTATATATTAGGAATATTATGAAGGAAAAAAAAATTCAAAATTCAAAATCAAGGAAATAATGCATTAAATTTAGATTTTCAATGTGTTTTCCTTATTTACCTTAAAGGGTAAAATCGACACAACAAAAAAGTAATAAATGTCAAAGGACCTACATCTAAAATAAAAAACACGAGGACTAGACCCAATGACAGCTAATCGTTTTGGACCTAGATCTAAGAACCCCTTAAAATTATCATAAGTTTCATTTTCATTTTGCCACAAATCTATACCGCCCATGTAGCTTCCAATATTCGCAACAAGTACACCTTCGGCATCCTGAAAATGTGTCTAAAAGTCCAGCACTGATAATCTCAAAGTTAGTCAATCATGATATATCCAGACAGCCAAAGCTCAAGCAATATGGTGATGATTTCTGAATCAGTAACTAAAGTGTTCTGTCTTTATGGTTAAAATCTTTTCATACTCACCTCAGGGACCTCTATCTCAACACCATCTACTTCAACTCCAACTTGCCAAGGAAAATCCACAAATATACAATACGGAGAAGGCGGAAGGAGAAGAACATCACCAATTGGTTTTTGAAACTGATTTTTCCTTAAATATTCTTAGAGAGAGAGAGAGAGAGAGAGAGAGAGAGGCCTACCTTTGCATGCTTCTCTCTTTATCTCTTCGTGGGGGAAGAAGAAAACAAAGCCCCAAGGGCGGAAGCTTTTCGTTCTTTATGCATTCTAGGAGGAATAGGAAAGAAGATAAAAGCCCAACTTTGGAGGCTTAGTTAACGTTAGGAGGAAAGCCCTCTTTTTTCATCCTTTTTGAGCGGATGAGGGAGAAGGCCTCAACAAATAATGTACTATCTTGGAGTTCCATATAATTTTTTTATTTTTTCTCAATTTTCCTTTCCCTGTAAAATAACACCATTACCAGAAATATTGTTTTAGTAACACTTTTATTATGTCAGCAAATATAGAACTTCCTCTTCCACCGGTATGTTTTGTTTTATGTATCTTAAAGACATAGAAAGAGATAGAGGGAGAGGAAGTTTCTTAAACGAGATCCTTCTTTCTTACTTCGAAATAGACTTATTTACTATAGTAACCCATGAAACTATGGTCAAATCCTATCTTCCTTTGCCTTGGTTTATAGAAGAAAAAAAATATATATACGACTCTATTGTTTAAATATACGGCTATACTGTTTAAATATAATAATTATTTTGTTTGAGAATGACCACATTCACAAGCAGAAGACTGCTGAGGAGGTAAGACTTCATCAAAACCACTATATATAATGTTACTTATAAAAATAATTTATTGTTGCTTAAATGATTTGTTACCTTATAATAGATGATGCCTCTAAACTTATATATTTCAGTTTCTCATGATCAACTCCTTGTTACTTCATGACTTTGTGCAGCATCAAATGGAAAATAGTGATGAAATCAATGTCTTTTTGCTCTCGGATAGAGGTTCACTGATATTTGAAGGTTATATAGAGAGAGGGGAAGGAGATGATGGTTGAAGTATGGAAAACTTTATGCTACGAATATGTGATTGGCTACTTACTAGCTGATGCCCTTTGATGCATCAAAGCCAGTTTGAACAAAAGTTATGCTTCTTGTGGAATTTAAAGTCAAGCACTATATATTTCTGTTTTCAATCATGTGTCCATTGATTCTTAGTTGCTACTTAACTTTGTGCAGCTTGGAATGGAGATGGTGATGAGATCGATGCCTTTGTGCACGTTGATGGAGCTTGAAAAGTTAAAGCCATCATGATATATATGCAGGAAGGAGTTTGTGAAAATTTGGATATGAGCTAGATTGATAGATATAGTAAAACTTTGGATTTTATTTTCTACTGTTGAACTTTATTTGATTGAATGTGGGCCGTTAGAAATTGAGATGGCTGTTAGTAGTTATTTGGAAAACAAAAAAAAGTTTGAACGTGAACCATTGGATGACAGCAGTAAAAGAATCTTGCCAGTCCAGCCATTAGCTTTGGTGCAACTGGCCAGGTACTAATATGATGTTTGTTTCTTTGTTCTTGCTCTGCTAAAGCTTGCGCTAGCGAGTGTAGTTTCCTAATCAACATTGATTCTCTCCTTATCTGATCCTTTATCTTCTGCTGTGTTATGGTTCATTATAGTTTATTTATTTATTAACGGAAACATGAAGGATCCGGATCCTTTGCTTTGATTTTCTCAGATATGCTTGACTTTTGTCCTCGATACGCCACCTCATTAAATTTTAATATAAGAGACCTTAAAAATTGACACATCATTCTTCAAGCAAAAACCCAATTTACTCTGAATTAAAAATAATAATTACCCTAAACCAACTAATGTCAAACTTAACGTCTTGTCCCTTTTTTTTTCCTTCCTTGTTTACTTTTGCACGTCTTCTTGGTGTCTATGCCCCCAAAGTCTTATCTCTCACCAACACCAAGCTTCCCTTCTTACTTTCGCACGTCTTGTTTCCCTGCGTTTCTATCCACCATGTAAACATTAAACATCATTATTATTCTTTTGTTTTATCTGCATGTTTCTGAGAAAATGTACTCTCTTGGAAGTTTGGAGAAAAGTCATCAACTCAGTTACCTGGTTTCTATGTGGATGACTCATATATATTCTCATTTAGTATGTTTCCCTTTTCACTATATTTTGTATTACAGGGGAAGGAACTGCGGTTGAAGCAACAATATATGTATTTGTCTCAACATCCATACTAGACATAATTCGGAGATTTAAAGAGGCTCACAGTAACTTTGATGAATTTCCAGAGAAGGTCTAAGTCTTAATAATATGTGTTTTATCATATGTTGATTTCTAGGGAATAAACCATGTTATTTCCCAATCTGGCAGCTTGTTTTAGCTACAATGACATTATATTTATTACTTTCCTCTGATAGCTAGTCATTCAGGTTTGCTTTTCTGTGTTTCCTTTTTTCCTCGGCTCATTTTTCCTTGTCTTAATTAGGGTGCTCTGCAGGTCATTGATACTCACCCATCTCTAAAAAATAGCTGAGGTCATGAGAGTGCTTGTTGATGAAGAGCATTTGGGTTGGAATTGTTGAAATTAATGCACATTTGTGCTAAAGAAATGTGTGGAAAAATCTAGAAGCTTTGAGATGAGCCTAAACTATTGGAGAATTATCTAGAGAAAGCCACACACTTATGGAGTAAAGAGATCAAGTTGGTGGAAGAATCTAGAGTTGTGGAGAAAAGAATAAGGAGGTGGAACAAAAAGCAATTGAAGTTGGAAGAACTTTCTAGAACAAGAGAATGCCTATAAATAGGCATGCAACCGCAAGAAGTGGAGTGAACCAATCAACTCCCAATCAATGTGGAGTCTAAAGAAGCAAACTCCCAAACCATTAGGGAGCCAAGAGCTACCCAAAGGAAGCTATGTTGAGAGCCAATAAGCTCACCAATCAAAGTGTAAGGGCCAAATAGCCCAAACTAATCTAAGTGAAGTGTGATGGCCAATAAGCCAATAAGCTATGAAGAAGGCCAATTATAGCCTATACCTCACCTATGTTCTATTCTCCTCCAAATCTAATAAAATCACTTTGTTTCCCTTAAATTCTAACATGGTATCAAAGCAACTCACATCACACCTTCCTAGAATTCCAACAGGAATAAAGCGTGGGGCATTGCTTGCAACTGGCTTGCGAGCATATGCAGCAGATCCTGACCTTCAACAAGAATGGATGATGGTACTCTCTGGGCTTGATATCTGCTTAGGAACCAAAAATATATTAAGCTTTTGGCTCTTCTTTTGTATTATTATTATTTAAATGTGTTGTATATATGCTCATGTTGTAGGTTAAGAAGGTTAACAAAATGAGGCTCACTGAGTACATTGAAGCAATGAGTGGTGTGAAGGTTTGGTCACAAGTTCTTAGAACTTCTATCTGTTCATCTTTTCTCTTTTGTCTTGAAGGTATGTCTAATAGATTACAATGAAATTTATCACTTTCAACTGCAGGTTAGTTTAGATGCAATGATTGATGTGCACACAAAGCGAATACACGAGTACTAAAGGTAGCTACTTAATATACTTGGCATTATCCATCAATATGACTGTATCGAGGTGAATCTGATTTTATAGGGTGAAAAACTTTGCATTCCATATTTTTATAACTTATTAACAAAGAACTACCTTATACCTTCTCAAGGGAGTTATCACCATCCTCCAGCATTGTGCATACCTAGTTCATATTCTTGTCACGGTAATTTAAGAAGTTGTTGGACAGCAATTTGTTGATTTTTCAATGAGATATGATGTGCAGTTGGAGCTTTCTTCTCATGTTTTTTGTATTTTAGCCCTTAACCCTAAAATAATATGACAAAATTGTATATTTAAAGAGCATAGCCGATCGGCTATACTCTTTAAATGTATACGAATATTTTAAAATTTAAATGTATAGCCGTCCGGCTATACTTTCTAAATACATTCGAATGTTTTAAACATATAGCCGAGCGGCTATACGCTTTAAATATGTTCGAGACGAACACGAAGCTTGCACTCGCAGAGGACGGAACTTGCTCTCGCCGTCACTGCTTCGTCCTCCGGGTTCGGCACCGGAAAAAGCCCCAACCCGCCTAGGCATCCGCCTAGCCGCCTAGCCGCCTAGCGACCGCCTAGCGATGCCCTAGCCGCCTAGCAAAATATAATCTCACATTAACTCAACAAATCTGATGTTTTGCAGTTCATAAACAACCTTTCCGATGACCTTCTGCTGAAGACGCTTGGGTCTAACTTCAGATCCTATTTCTATCGAGCTTTTCATCAGTTCAAGAGAGTCTTTTCAGAATTTAAAAGGTCTCACCATGAGGTATGTATCAAAAGTCCTTTGTTAATTGGTCTGTAGCAGCTGTTGGAAAAGGAAAATATTTCTTCAATGTTCTTAGGAGGACACTGAGGCCACTCCTATGATACATCTTTATAGTTTTCTGCCATTAAGTCTGCTGTTGTTTACATTTGCATATCTCTTTACTTTTATAGAATAGTTTCCAAATTTTGGTGGTTGGTTTTCTAATTTTCAAGAACTCTGAAGGCACGTGTAACTATATCACTTCAATCTTGAAGATGTTGAGCCACAAATCTTTGCAAAACTTAAACATGTAACGGATTGTCTCTTCCTACCTCCAAAATTATTAGTTGTAAAGCACTGAGAATTACATGACAGATGCTTGTATTACCCTAAATAATCTCATTTGGCAGGTTTTCTTACCATGAATGCATATGCTATATTGTTGGGGACTGCACCATTATGTACAATCACGACCGCCTAGGCCAATTTTCTTTATGCAGTTACAACATTTCATCAAAGAGAAACTGGAAAAGAATGAATTCACAGCAGCTCTTGCAAATGAGGAATTAGTTTTCTTTATGGTTTGTAGTCAATTTTCTTTCTTTTTAATTATTTTTGTACCCTTTTCTGCCGCAAAATACATCCCATTTAAGCATTTTCTTGTGGTGTTGTCCTTAATCAGAGTTGCTCTCATCAAAATTCACTAGCTGAAAGCGTC